CTCTCTCTCTCTCTCTCTCTCTCTCTCTCTCTCTCTCTCTCTCTCTCACACACACACACACACACACACTCACAGCTCTGGAGTTCCTGGCCTCTTTGAGGATCTGCCTGGCGTTCTGAACCTCCTCTCCATCCTCACAACTTTTCAGGACACAGACCTGCTGCTGCACCCGCACGCAGAGACGCTCCATCACCTAATATATACGTAAAAATATAGTTTAGAAAAAAACATTCGGTCAGCTATGGAAATTCTTGACCTTTGTGGAGGCCACAGACACACAGAGACACACACACACCTGCTCGGCGGTGCTGGTGACCAGGCCCTGGTGCAGCCGGAGAGCCTGCTTCTGAGAGAAACGCTGAGTCTGGTTGTTCCGGAGAAGAGCTCGCTGGATCTGGCTCACACACACACACACACACACAGAGAAAGGGAGAAAGAAAGAAAGAGAGAAAGAAGCATAGGAGCAGGAGTAGGGATGACAGGTGTTTACAAAGAGCAGCATGTGGAGACAAGTCCATTTACATGGTAATAAGGAGACTGCAGAAAGAACTGCAGATGACCTGAAATAACATTTTAAAAAACTGTATATCATTTATTTTTTCGGCCCAGCAACTGTTAAAACTTTCCACGCATCACCATCTTATGTAAAGAAGATGGAATAGAGCGACCCTGAAGGACGTGATATAACACAGAGGCAAGAAAAAAAATATATATATGTGATACATTATCCTTAAACTGGTTCAACGAGAACCAGATAATCAGAACATCTGACATTTGGCTGGAAATGAACCTACACACACATTTTGCTTTAGCCATGCAAAAACACAGTAACTGCAGCCTACAAGATTTTTGCTCTTAGATTTAATAAAGCCAGATGATAAATCATTTCCATCTTAACTGTAGTTGAAACTGCAGTGAATATTCAAATCCTGACATGTAACAAACAGGAGCAAACATAAACTGATAAAGAGACAATAAAAAAAAGAAAAATGCTTTAAAAAATGCAGTCAGCATTGATTTTTTTCTGCTTCTTTTTACCTCCTCAGCACTGGCTGTGGGCCACATAACTGGTTCTACAGTAACACCCATTCTTTACTGGGCCGGTTTGCTGTGAGTGTTTCTACGTCAGCGTCTGGAGCCCAAAAACAGATCACCCAAAAATGTGGTGACCTGCCAAATACAAGAGTCCTCATGGTCCCATTTCTCTTTGTGTCTCATGATTTTATGTTTTCAGGGTCTGTTTAGCTGCCTCATGCTCTCCCTGCACTGGAGTCCTCCACAGAAACGCTGATACATCAGAAAGAGAGATGCTCAAAGTCACACAATACTGGGGGATGCACGGCTAATGCCGGTGGAAAATGAAAACCAGATCTTAAAATGTCCTTCACTTAAAGAAACTCTCAGCTGCTTTAAAAACCAATGGCCATTTAAAAAGGGAGCAAAAACAGAAAGAGACCTCTATCAATACAAGCCTTAAAGTTATCGCTTTCTGGTTTGAGTCCTAAGATCAAGAATTACCTAAAACTCAATAAAATATTGGATACATATTAAAAAGATATTATGAATTTTTTTAAAAAGAAAATTGCGCATCATTATTATTATTTGAATTGAATTGAATTGAATTGAATTGAAAGCCTTTATTGTCATTGTACACAGTACAATGAGATTTGGAGAGCAGCTCCGTAAAGTGGACACATAAATAACACATACATACATATACAATACATTAGTACAACTGGAGTACTAGATGTTGATTTAGTAAGGTGACAGCTTTTGGGAAGAAGCTATCCCTGAGTCTGTTTGTTTTGGTCCGTATTGACCTGAAGCGCCTGCCTGAGGGCAACAGGTTGAAGAAATGGAAGCCGGGGTGGGTGGTGTCCCTCAGGATGTTTCTGGCCCTGCTGAGACAACGGGAGTTGTAGATGGCAGTCAAAGAGGGCAGAGGGCAGCCGATAATTTTTTCTGCAGTGTTTGTCACTCTCTGCAGTCGTTTCCTATCAGCCTCCGTGCAGCTGGAGTGCCACACTGTCACAGCATAGGTCAGCAGGCTCTCGATGGTGGAGCGGTAGAAGGTCACCAGCAGCTGAGGTTTTAGTTTTTCCTTCCTGAGCACCCTCAGGAAGTGTAGCCGCTGCTGGGCCTTCATGACCAGAGCTGTGGTGTTGGCTGACCAGGAGAGGTCTGCAGAGATGTGGATGCCAAGGAATTTGAAGGACTCCACTCGTTCTACACATCCACCGTTGATGTACAGGGGGGCAGGGGCGGCTTTCTTCCGTCTGAAGTCCAGGATGAGTTCCTTAGTCTTGTTGATGTTTAGTGCCAGGTTGTTTGATGCACACCACTCGCCAAGTTTCAGGACCTCATCTCTGTAGGCCGCCTCGTTTTCCCCTGTAATCAGCCCCACCACCGTTGTGTCATCAGCGAACTTGATGATGATGTTCTCTGGGTGGGCGGGACTGCAGTCGGATGTGTAGAGGGAGTAGAGTAATGGGCTCAGCACGCAGCCCTGTGGAGAGCCAGTGCTGAGAGTGCGGGAAGAAGAGAGGTGAGGACCCAGTTTCACCTGCTGGGGTCGGTTGACCAAAAAGTTCTTTATCCAGGAGCAGGTGGGTGGTGGGACCCCCAGGTCGGTTAGCTTAGGGATCAGAATGTCCGGTATTATTGTGTTAAAAGCTGAGCTAAAGTCAATGAAAAGCATCCTGACGTAGCTCTCCCGTTGCTCCAGGTGACTCAGCGCTGAGTGGAGAGCGATGGCTATGGCGTCTTCGGTGGATCTGTTAGTCCGGTATGCAAACTGGTGCTGATCCAGGGTGGGGGGGAGACAGGCTTTTATGTGTCTCAAAACCAGTTTCTCTAGGCATTTGGTGATGACTGGAGTGAGTGCAATGGGGCGGAAGTCATTGAGGCTGGTCGTGGGTGACTTTTTAGGGATCGGGATGATTATAGCAGACTTCAAGCAGGGTGGGATGACAGCTTGTTGCAGAGATATGTTGAATATGTCTGTGAAGACCTGTGATAACTGCCAAGCACATGCCTTGAGCACCTTCCCAGGTACTCCATCTGGACCTGCAGCCTTCCTGGGGTTCACTGCACAGAGCACCCGCCACACGTCCTGTGCCTTAAGAGTAAGTGGGGGGGAGGAGGTGTGCTGGGGGGCTGGTTGAAGTTGTGGTGGTTGTTGGAGTGATGAGGTTGGATGCTGTGTGTGAGACTCAAAGCGGGCAAAGAAGCTGTTCAGCTCCTCTGCCAGTCCCGCATCCAAGTTCCCGGGTGTCACAGCACAGCCTTTGTAATTGGTGATGGTCTGTATGCCCCGCCACACTTGCCTTGGATTGTTTAGATGTTCCTCTATCCTCCTCTTATATTCACCTTTGGCAGTCCTAATGCCTCTCTTCAGGTTGGCACGAGCGGCGCTGTACAATGCTCTGTCGCCTGACCTGAAGGCTGAGTCACGGGCCCGGAGGAGCATACGGACCTGGCGCGTCATCCAGGGTTTCTGGTTTGGGAACACCCAGATCCTCTTTTCAACAGTGACATTCCCAATACAGTACTTGATGTAGGACAGTACTGCATCTGTGAATATTTCCAGGTCTTCGTGATAGAAGGCTTCCCACTGTGTATTTTCGAAGCAGTCCTGTAGTCGGGGGAGGGCGTCCTCAGGCCAGGTGGTGATGGTCTTCTTTGTGGGCTTTGTTTGTCGACTGAGAGGGGTGTATGCTGGAGTTAGGAGCAGGGAGAGGTGGTCTGACTGGCCCAGGTGGGGAAGGGGTACAGCTCTGTACGCATGCTTGATGTTGGAATACACATGATCCAGAGTGTTTTCCCCTCTTGTAGGGCATTTTACATATTGGTGGAATTTTGGTAATACAGTCTTTAGATTTGCCTTATTGAAGTCCCCTGTAATGATGTGGACTCCACTAGGGTGGGCGCGCTGGTGGGTATTGATGGCATTTAGCAGTAGAGAGAGAGCCATGTTTACATTAGCGTCTGGTGGTATGTAGACTGCAGTGATGACAACAGCAGCTAGCTCTCTAGGCAGAAAGAAGGGTCTGCATCTCACCGACATAAATTCCAGATCAGGAGAACAGTGTCTGTCCAAGACAGTGCTGTTGTTACACCAGCCATCATGCACATAGATGCAGAGCCCGCCTCCTCTGTTCTTCCCGGAGTCACTGTTCCTGTCCCATCTGTGTAGTGTGTGGTCTACTAGTTGCACCGTGGCATCGGGGACTTGTGTGTGTAGCCATGTCTCTGTGATGATAAGCACACAGCAATCGCGAACATAACGGTTACCAGCCAACTGTAATTCCAAATCGTCCGTTTTGTTTACAATGGATCTGGCGTTTGTAAGGTAGAGGCTCGGCAACGGAGGTTTGAGTGGCTGTTTTCTTAGTTTTAGCAGTAAACCAGCCCTGCAACCTCGTTTTTGTTTCCTCTCGCATCTCCGTCTGCGTCGCCTGACAGACCCGTTAACAATCCACGGGGATCCCGTTGGTCTCGCTATTTCGTCCGGAATGTTGTGAGTTCGGTGAAAGTCGCCGGAGATGGTCATCTTCAATTTGAAACCGATGTCCAGTAAATCCAGACGGCTGTATTGTTTCATAATGTGTGTAAACGAACAAACAATATACGATAAACACAAAAGATAAACATTAAAAAAGCACTAATACGGAGAGCTGTGAGCCGCTGCGTCTATGCGCGCCGCCATGGCAACAGAAGCTGATGAAAAGCTATGATGAGAAGCTATGATCGTTATATTGCTCAGAAGTAGCCTTTGACACAACACACCGTTTTTTGGGTTTTTTTAGGCGGTGTAGATGGCAGAGGTCAGTACCGGCCTGTGTTATCAAGTTTTGGTCCTAGAGCAGTGGTCAGAGACCTGAGCCCGCTACTGACCAGAACCACCCAGTCACAAAACAGCTGAAAGGTTTAGCTTGAAATGCAAATTTATCACAACAGAAAAAGATCAAAACCGCGGGACGTGGCGTTTTTTATTTTGCTGTGCTGTGACACGCCCCACTGAGAAACAGCGGTGTGGACAACACTGTGGCAACGGACCATGACGCTCAACCCCCCCCCTTTATAGCATCACCAATCAGAATACAGGTTCCCCAAAACGTTCTAAACCGTGGTTTGAAACTGTCCACAGATTCAATTGGACAATGAGCCGTCAGATCTTTCAATGATAGTGGAATTGGAGTGTTTCCTTTTTTTTCCCCCTCGGATGCATAATGAGTAATTATCTATGAGAGTGGAGCAGATGAGGAAACTCAGGGCATCTCACCTTGGCCAGGGCGTGGTCAGTCTTCTCCGGGGCGCCGCGGTACGCCTGGCTGATGTCACTGAGGGGGAGGGGCATGTACTGCAGGGTGAAGTTGCTAAGCGTTGGAGAGAGAGAGAGGCAGATAAAAAAACGGAGAATGACACTTTTCCTTTTAAAAAGAGAGAGAATCGTGATAACTACAACAAACAAGAATCAATAAGGGGCTCTTAATATAGTTGTGGCCAATTCCCAAAACACGCCCACGCGCCCTTGTAGAAGCAGACAAAAGTATGAACCTCACACCCACACATGAGTGAAATACGTGTTGGAAGACTGATGAAACGCTGTGAAAGAGTAAACAGCGTACAGAGATGGTTATCTGCCTTTTTTGTTTTTGTTTCAGGGAGTGTGAACGATCCCTTTTAAGTGTGCATCGCCTCTTCAAAAAAGACGCTTGCGTGTGTCTGTGTGTGTGGTGTGTGTGTGTGTGTTTGTCTTACTGCTCCAGCGCCCTCGCCACATCCTGGAAGCCGGTTGCCGTGGTGTTGTTGCGATCCCACGTCACACTCCTGTGAGGGGCCAGACCAACAGGAAAAGGGATGAAACGGGCCCAGAAATGAGGAAGAGGAGGAGATGGAGCAGGACCGGTAGCCTCCCAAAGCTCCCCACGCACACGATGCGTTATTTTTTCTGTTCCTACACGTGCAAAAACAAGTCTGCAACCCGTACTAACTGTCACACATGCGGCCATTTTCAGTCCACATCACCTTTTATCGATATTCCTTCTCTATCTCTTCCTCTTCCTCTGCTTCTGCACCCCCAACTTGTTTTGCCCCAGAAAACTGAATCATCAAAATCCACATCTCGCTCCGTGGGAGGTCTTCCTCTTCCATTCCTTTATAACGTCTTCCTTTCAATTCCATGTCCGACCATTTCTCATCCCAGCCTATCCGTTTTTTTCTGCCCTCTTATTCAGCGTATCTAGTTTCCATCCTTACCGCCCTCATAACTCAAAAACACAACACATTTTGTCCCGTGAATCCTCTTGTTACGTCTTTTCATTTTCCCTCTCACCCACTCTTTCTCCAGGTCTCTAAAACGCCTCGTTTTCTTTTTGAATCAGGATGCTCACACAGAAAAAAGACCTACCTGAGGGTTGTGTTGATTTGCAGAGCTTTGCTGAGCATCTTTGCCCCCGAGTCTTCCAGGAGGTTGCCACTTAGGTCCACCTTGCGCAGACAGGCGTTGGAGCCCAGGGCGTTCACCAGCACTGTGCCCCGCTGGCGGAGCCTGGAGTCAGCCAGAGAGAGGGACTGCAGGGCCTGAGGGGGAACCATTAGAGAGTTTCAGGAGGGGTCAGCTGCTCCAGCTACAGTCCGATTCAACCGATTAAAGTTAATGGTATTCACAGATCAAATCACTTGTGTTTTATTGAAAATTTGAAATTCTAATGAATAATTATCATTTACTGAGCTGTCAGTGCATTAACTACAAATCTAAACCTCCCAAACTGCCCTAAACTCCGCACATACAAAGGAAGATATGCTCACATTTGTATTTAGGTGGGGAACCAATGCATTCACATACTAAAATACCTTTGAAATATACAGTTTCCTGTCTCCAAGCATGTTCAAGTCAACATACAACTGAGACAGATCTGTCCCTCAGAGTTTCAAACATCATGAATAATGTGTTCAAATGTGTTCAAATCCATTTGTATTTTAACTACAAATCTAAACCTCCCAAACTGCCCTAAACTCTGCATATAAAAAAGAAGATATGCTCACATTTGTATTTAGGTGGGGAACCAATGCATTCACATACTAAAATACCTCTGACATATACAGTTTCCTGTCTGCAAGCATGTTCAAGTCAAAATACAACAGAGTGAAAATCTGTCCCTCCGAGTTTCAAATATCGTGGAAAATGTGTTCAAATCCATCCCACACTACATGAATAATGCAACATTTGGAAGGCAAATAAAATTAGGTCAGAAAATGAGAAGGAAGGGAACAGTGATCCTCACACTGCAGCGGAATATTTCAGACACCTTCCTGAGCTTTAAGGAGCCGGCGTTCCTCGGCTGTGGAACTTTCACCTCTCCTATCCACGCTGCAGCTAAGTGCAGGAGAAAAATCAACCTGGCTTTGATCAATTACAGCAGAAATACATCTGTTAACTCCACCTCTGGAGAAAGTCTGCGAGACTCTGAGGTGAAAAAGGGAAAAGGTGTCGGTGGTGATCCTGGACTCTTTACGGTCAGAATCAGAATCAGAAATACTTTAATAATCCCAGAGGGAAATTATTTAAGTCAGGGTTCTGCATAGGATGAATTACTTAACTAGCCCTGTAACCTATGCAGAGCTACGATGGCAAGTGCATGCACATCCAACCCAAAATAACCAAGCTCTTCAATCTGACTGATATACATGTTAGAACTCCCTGAGCTGCTGTAAAGCAATACCAAACATCCAACAGAGATGTTTTCCATCTTAAACCTAGAAGAAATGTCAGAAGTTAAAGAGAGATGTTCGGGGTGGATTTTGATCTGGATCAGGCAGTCGATATTTTTACGGCTGCATTTTCTCAACCGATAAAACTGAGTTGTAAATATAGCGTAGTGTGTTTCAGAGCACTCAAGCCGTCGCAAAGTGGACCCGACATGACCCAGAACAGCTTGATGCAGACGTAAAAATCCGCTCTAAACTACCAACTCTAACCACGACACTTTGAGATTTGGCTGGTTTAAGTTACTGAAAAAAAGTTATTTCTATTAACTCTTTTAAAACAAAAAAACACCCTTATCTACAGTAGTCTAAAGTCTAAACTCAAGCACCTACTTAAAGAAACAAAAAAACTCCTTAAAACAATAACTCTCATTTCAGTGAAGTGGAAAAACAATCTAAATCTGTAAAGGTGTCAACTCCACAGTTACAACAGACTCAATATAAATCTCAGGGTTGGTTTAACTCTGACGTTTGGCTTAAAATGGCTTTTCCCCTAAACCAAATGGTGCTCGATGCAAGGATGGACGTTACTCCCACCTAACAGAAATACAATTCATCGTAAAGCTTGTGCTCAGTTTACGATCACAAAAGTGAAGACATGTCCTAGACAGAATTGGAAGTCGATTTCTGGATTTCAAAGTTCCTGGAAGATGACTTCCAATGGGTAGAAATAGGCTACCATTTTCTTACTTAAGCTTTAGTGAATAGACAAAATATGAAAAGGCATTTTTTTCACACAGATCTTCAGATTTTCTGCATTTCAACATTCTTTTTTACCAGTTCTCAGTTCTTATGTTGACAGTAGCAGTCGAGCCAACTTGAAGTTTGTGCTGACCTTGCTTTTTGTGTTAGTCGTCTAACCTACGGCCCTTTTAGTGATCCAGCTCCTTAAGTGTTAGTTTCAGTGCACACAAGTGTTCGTTTGCAGCCTGTGAAAGAGCATCGCGGTGCACTATCACCATCAGTCGTGATGAATAACTGAGTCGGAGAGACTTGTCATGCTGGATTCTCAGAGCTGAGCTGAGAGGGAGCCTGGGGAGCCTCGCAAATAAACTGAGACCGAATTAATCATCCTCCGCTCTCGCCGACAATTGACAACATGACTTATGCGCCTGTTTACACCTTGCATGCGCTCGCCTCGCCGTAAATGAGGACAGAATGCATGTTTGGTGCGTGGAAAAACACGCGTGGAGCGACAACAGAGTTACATAATCAGACTCACACACTCTTCTTCTTGCACCAAATGAACCAGCTTCTGCAGGACTTCATCCAGCACCCTGAGGGGGGAGAAACGGGGGGGGGGGGGAACATTCATCATCTGTATCGTCTTCAAAAGCGCCCGCACCGCCGCGTCCCCCGCCTGGTCCCCTACCGGCCCTTGATGTTGAAATTCTTCCCCAGCATCAGGTGTTTCAGGGAGGGGTGCCGGGAGAAGGCCGGGAGGACAGCCAGCAGGTCGGCATCCAAACCTGAACCCCACACAAAAAAAAAGCAAAGCTGTTACCCAAAGTGCAGCAACAACTCTACAATGTTCAAATCCAGCTACTTTACCTTTAAATTAGATCTCCTATCACTTACAGTGGGGGAAATAAGTATTTGACCCCTTGTTGATTTTGTCGGTTTGCCCACTTACAAAGAATGCAACGATATATTTATTTATTTATTTTTATTTATTTATTTATTCATTTCATTCAATACAAAGAAAAATTATTCATTTCATTCAATACAAAGAAAAATTAATTTAAAAAAATGAAATGAAAGGTAGCAGAAAGAAGAAAATAATCTTATAATATCTGCCCCTTTAACTTATATAACTTTAATCATATGTATATTCTAACAGTGAAAGACAGAATCCCAAAGAAAATTGCAGAAAATCACATCATATGAATTTATAAAAATTGATAACCATCTGATGAGGAAAAATTAGTATTCTTTGTAAGTGGGCAAACCTGCAAAATCAGCAAGGGGTCAAATGCTTATTTCCCCAACTGTATATCTGCGTAGCAACAAAATATGTGAAGAGGCATGTAATGTTTAGAGATTTAAAAAAAAAAAAAAAACGAGAAGAAATTAACCCGTATACCAAATAGAAAGGGGCATATTTTTAACCACACAAAGTTGCCACTTCCGGGGCTTTACTGCCTCACGGTGACTCATCATGTGAGAACGTTTCTGCCTCACAGTCCCTCTCTTCATCTCCGGTTCATTCTGGAAGAAATTTCACTTCCCACAGATATTCCAAAATATTCCCAATTAACGCCCCCACTCACACCCACTCGCTTTTTTCGAATAGCTAGAGGAGAGAGGATGTGGTAACCATGGCAAAAATACGTCAACGTGGAACTCATTCAGAGGGCAAAAATATCTGAAATCATCTGGAGTGCTTGTGATGCGCGGAGGGTTTGTGTTATCGCGGCTTCCTGTGAGGCAGCAGAGCCGGAAGGGGGGGGGGGGGGGGGGGGTCGCACAAACGACTAGTGCTGGGAAACACACATTAATGCTCCTGATTCTATTAAAAATAACATGTGGATGAATGGCTGTTCAGGGAATAGGCCGGCCAGTAAATATCCCATTTGTTAAAATCTTGTTGGGAGAAAAAAGTGGCCTGGAGGTTAAAACGCTCAATGAAAGATAAGCATGTCTCTCTCTCCGAACATTCCAACATAAAGGAATCAAACTCAGCCTCAGCATGTTGGAACTCTATAAAAAACGTTTCTCTTAGATTTTTTCCCCCTGCAACCCCCCCCCCCCCCCCCCCCCCAGCTCTCAGAAATGGAGACTCTATGCAATTTGACCAGCTGGCAGCTCTCTCAGCGGGAGGGGCTGGCTCGTGTGACACGGACATAAATATCTTTTGTCTCAAAGACGCGATTTATCAAAACCTCTGCTCCAACAAAGCCTGCGGGACTCGGTGTAACACCATACCTTCATATCTTTTTTCGCTGGGAGGAAGTACTAGATTCAGGATTTACTGCGAATATGGACACATAACTCAAAACACCCCAAAAAAAACAGTTTCTTCGGTATGGCTTAAAGTTTGTTTGTTTTTTCTTTGTTTTAAACCACCGTCTAACTACATTTTTGTAGAAAACAATTACAAGGAATTGTGTATTGGTGTAATATTGTAAGGGTACACTTGGCAGTTATAATAAAGGTTTAAACAGTTGTTGAAGTATGTTTGCTTCAGTAAAGTCTCTGCATGAATCATTCAGTGTCTTATCCTACTGGAGACTACACTCTCTGCCTTTACCTTTGAAACAACGAGCATTTTATCTATTATTAATCTTCTGTCTTTGAGCAAGATTATCAAAACATACCATCTGATCACAGTGACATTTGCTGTGCGTGAAATAAATGTTGAATGTCTCTGTTTTTCTATTTGATCTAGCAAAAATGTTATTGTATTACTCCAAAGACAAAGTATCTGGTCCAAAGTAATACCATCTGAATGAGTAAAATTCAGTCTTACTGGGGAGGCAGTGCCTAAAAATGTGGGACAATTCATGAGTTGGTGATCAGAAATTAGGAATTCTGTGCTTTAAACCTTTTTTCTTTTTGAATAGGGGGTAGCATATTTTCTCCCGACTCCTGACAGTTCATCTGAATTAGAATAAACAGTGCAAAAGTAGCTTGGAATGTAAAAATGACCACATATTTCTTTATTTGTTCTCTCTTCATTTCCGTTGCATATTATTAATAATTTTTTTATTCAATTCTTTGACCAAGAAAGAATTATATAAATATAATTTTCCACTTACTGCACCATCAAATACATCAGATCTGAATGCAAATTGGCCCATTTTCCCCTGTCACTTTTTCCTTGAGACATGGCTGAGTTTCAATATTAATGACGAATAAAGCAAAAAAAAACTTTGTTCTTTATCATTGCTTCACCATTTCTCTGTGATGAATCTCATTCCTGTGGGTCTATTATCTCAAATACTTTTGTTGTCAAAATAATTCCACTCTCAGTTTCCAGCTCGCTGCTCTTACCCAATTTTCTTTTGACATGATTTCTGAGCCAATTATCCGTTAGCCTTTGCTCTTTAATACACAATTGGGATTCTGTCACCCTGCATTTCAAACAACCCTCTGTGTCACCATCTACTGTTGATCATTGTCTCAAAGGTTTTCTCCTCCCCCTGCATTTCACCGGCATCTAGACTCTGTGGGTTTTTATATCTCCAATCTTCAATATGGAATCCATTCCTAACATAATATTACTGTAAATCAAAGTCTAACTATCAGAAATGAAATTAAAAAGTCAAGAGTTTGAAAAAGTTTGCTTTAAAAGGGAAGACTTTGTTTCAAAAGCCACCTTTGTAGCGGGTCAAACCATTGTATCTGGTATCTTACAAACAGCCCCCCCCCCCCAAAAGGGTCCCGTTTTGGGGGTGGGCGGAAAAAAATGCCTCTTACCATTATCAGAAATGTCTAAAGTCCCCACGCAGGAAACACGAGGAAAAAGCTCCTTAAGAATCCCGCGGCCCCCGGGCCCCCGCGGCGGGGGGGGGGGGGGGGGGACAGAGGCGAGCGGAGCATGATGGGATAACCACGAGCGTTAATCTGTGAAGGTGCTGAGTGAATATACCTGGAAGAAAGAATGATGGAGCGTACCTCACAGCTGCTGATGTCCAGGTGTAAATCAGAGATATGGGGGTTATTGGACAAACCCAGGAATAGAGCCCTGGAGACCAGCACAAACAGATTTAAATGGTCAGTGTGGGGAAAAAAACGTACAGGCACACATGACAGGACAAAAATAAGAAGTAGAGATAAGAAGTAGTGAGAAGAGTGATAGCTACATGAACAGGGAGAAACAGTCAATTGAGAGATGAAGAGTGAAAATTGTAATAAATCCAGCTGCTTCTTTTCCCTCCCACTAAGAACCACAACAGGATAAACCATCCCACCACCTCCACTCCATCCGGTTCCACGTTCTCCTGTTCACATCGAAAAGTTTTAGAACCATCTTAAAGGATTAGAGAAAAGTAGCTTAGGAAAAAGACTCATAGCTCGCTAAGTCTCTGAAAAAAAAAAAATCACCTCAACAGCATTCAATATTTATTCAGGAGGAACTGCCAGCTGTTGCATTTCGACACACACAGAACGGCTGGATGCTGAAGGCACAGTGCGTTTACACATCCAGGCCCTCCTGGGAGTTTTATTCTCGTGCTATAAATACACATTTATGAGTTAAGCACCGTGAGGAGCTAATGAGAAGAAGTGCTAAGTGGGATGTCCACTCGATCCGATTTGGGCCGGGACCCAACACGCGCCACACAACTGTCTCAACTGCTGGCAGTTTGCTTTGTTTACTCTGCTGGAGATTGTGTTTTTTTGGCCACGGAGAGTCAGCAGCAGGTCGATCTCGTCACAGAGGAACTGTAAAATTGCAACGCTCCATTTCTCCGTGCGGGGGTAGTCAATTTTTGCTTGGCTGACACGAGCTGGTTTAGCTACAGATCTCCAAAAAAAGTGGTCCTGCACAAAGTCAGTCAGAGTCCTCTGATTGAAGGCCAGGAACAAGAAAACCCCTTGATGATAAAATCTAAATGATAGTTTGGATGAAAACTCCACTCCATATGGTACAAGTTATTTTTGCATTCTGGCCCATGACAATAAAAGAGGAAAAACAACACCTTTGGTCTGTAATGGGAGCAGTTCTACTCAAAGTGGGGGTGGATTATACCACTATTCTCTAAAGGCAGTTATACATCGGTTATGTGTACAGGCCAGAAAAACTGGGATACAAGATTCAAAGGACCTTAGCACTGCGCCCTCACCTGAAACACCCTTCAGCTTCATGGGTGGATATATTTTTAACGCGAGCAGCTTAAAGTTTCACTAAGCATTCTCCGAAGGCGATATTTCTCGCTGACACAAAGAGGGAACATCAGTCAAAAGTGCTGCCAGCAGACTTCAAGAGGTTAGGGGTTAAAAACACACTTCATAAGCCGATTTATGGTCCATTTCTTATTGGTGATAAATCATTATCACATTGTTGCTCATGAATCCTGTTTGTGTGTGTTCAGTTCACATATTCCTTCTAAAATCTTTTTTATAGGGTCAGTTTGATCTCTTGTCAGACGTGAAAGACGTCCCTTTTAGCAAAAGGGAAAAAGTAAAAGGCAGTCTGAATAGATGAACTGTGAAACAATACCTAGACAAACTATTCTTTGCTCATAAAATCTGTGAATTGGCTGTTACACCATTCAAGTTTTTATTTTAGTTTGTATTTCAAATGGAATGTAAGAAAATTAAAATGACGTGTGAAAACACGTTATGTAGTCCTTGTTGGACTCTCTTCTCTCCACATAAATGGTTAAAAAAAATCAGCTAAAAAAATGTACTCCTGACTTAATCAAATTGAACATTCCTGATTCCTTATTTTACAAGTTTCTTTGATCCTATTGGGCATTAGTTAGTAAAGCATCAGTAAATTATTTAATGCAAGACATTCACCTCTTGTACCAAAAAACATCCCTAACCTTGTCTTTTGAAACTGCCTATTGCAAATGACTTGTTTATTCAATCATCTCTCCATCCAGCAGAGCATTTAAACTTGATGAACCAACACTATTGTGCGCGGTGCATGCAAAAAAGACACAAAGTGGCTTTTATTGCAGTTTGGTTTGTCAGCTCAGATGTGCAAAAAAAGATCTAGTTACCAACTGGTGGTTACAGGTGGTGAGGGAGGATTCGGATCACCGTATTCAGCAGAATATTCCACACATTAGGACACATTAGGAAGCCCTGACTCAGCAGTATATTGCGCGTGCACAATACAGACGGAGGATGCGGTTACAAGTGAGTGAACACTGCAGGGTGGTGTCTATGGTTTGATACAGTCAGCGCTTATGAGCAGATTCTTTTCTCTTAAAAAAATATTCTGAGTTTTATCAAAAATGTATTTTGCATTATCTGGTGTCTGTTGCATTTTGGCTGCACTGAGCACGTCTTGGTGGTTTGTCATAACAGCACGTCTGACCCATACAGCGCTAATAATGAGTCTATACCCGGCCTGAGCTGGACACTTCCAACTGTATAATTTACCTTTTATAGAACAATTCATTCAAATTGTGACAAGCGAAAAGACGCTAAACTGGAGAAGGCAAAGAATATATTGCTACTTATTTTTTCTTTATGAGAGATTTCTCATCTCGGTTTTGCTGGCGGATTTCTGGTTCTCGGGTTTATTTAAATACTTGCACATGGCAGCAACTCACCTCAGCGAATCGGGGGGGACCTTCATAGAGGCCAGGCTAACTTGAGTGAGGCTAAACGCTGAGCTGAAGAACTGGCGGAAAGTTGGCAGAGAGTCTCTCGCTTTTCTGCAAAAAGGACAAAACGGAGAAAAGCAGAAGGGGTGTTAGCATGAGGGGGAGAGGAGGGCCGGCATTAAGGACGGATCACAATCAGGGCCTCTCGCACATTCAAAGGACGATGAGAACAGATAAAAGACTGAAGCGGGAGCGAGGGGGTGACAGGAGGACAAGATAAGCTGATGAAGAGTGACAGAAAGTTTACAGCCGGCCGGAAGGAAACTGTCAGAGAGAAGTGAAAAGCAAAGCGGGAGGAAAGGGGGAAGCAGACCGACGCTGGCAGGGACGTTCAGGTCGCTAACCGGGAAAAAAATTGGATATTTATTCCTCTCACCGCTTAAAAGGTATCATCAACCAACCATCTGCCTGGCAAATAATCTATGAGATGGTCATGAGAGGGAGGACAGAATAGAACAGCATGTGTTCAACGCTCCGAGCGTCTGCAGGACGGATGTAGAGAGCTGGTTCAGATCTGTGTTTAACACTTGTCAAAGCAGTCAATCTGCTGCTCTCTGCGCAAATAATTCATCACCAGGGAGGATGAGGACGAGGGCCTCAAAAAGCAGGAAGCGACTGGCCCTAGTGGCAGGAATAGGGAGAAAGCAGGGGGAGATTTTTATCTATCTATTTTTTAGGGATTTAGGAAACTCATTTTCCAGTCTTACCTTATCAAACAATGATTTTACGAAGAGGTTGGAAAAACGTAATCATCTAAAAACAACGTGTAGCTCGCTTTTGGGACTCTGATGCTCCGAGACAGAGCATTGCTGGTAAAACTGCTTTGAACTCTCCCCCGTCTCCCCGCTAAGCCAATTTCTCATGTGCCCATGTGTTTGGCAGCAGCTGTTTCAGTTTAATGAGAGCAGTAATGCTCCTGTTTGGGACTATAATGACTAATCGCTGTATTTCTGTCTTACTGTATTACTCTATCTATAGCAGTGTTTTTCAACCTTTTCTGACCCAAGGTACATTTTTTCATTGAAAAAATCACGAGGCACACCACCAACCAAAAATGTCAAACAAACCTGTAGCCGCCTATAGTAACACTATAGTTATTCTTATCTTATCTTAGGTGTCTTGAATAGGAATCAAATAAACTCAAAAATGTATTTTTATCATATTTTATATTTCTTCTTTCAAATTGCACTTAACATGTCCACTTCAATATATTCAATTATATACTAAATCTAGTCATGAGGAATTATTACATGATTACGCCACCAGTCACTAGAACAGCACAAACACTCAAAAATTATTTGCAGATAATTGATTCCTTATCCAAAAATCTTTTTAGACCAATTAGGTGAAATAGGATGATTTTCTACGGCACACCTGACCATCACTCGCGGCACACTAGTGTACCGAGGCAATGTGGTTGAAAAACACTGATCTATAGACACATATGTATATATGTGGAAGTGAGAAGCATTACAGCGTATACCAAAAAAATTGAATTAAAAAAAATACTGGCAAGTATAAATACGATGTAAAGCGAGTACTAAAATGCATGTGGCATTGGACAACAGAAATCTAGGGGTGTAAATAATAATGGAAGTGAGGACTGGAGAACACTACAGAGCACACAAAGCGTCTGGCAATGAAATAAAGAAACTGGTTAGTAGAAATGAATGTGGGGACTAATGCAATACACATGAAGGATGTGAGACTGAGCAAAATAAAGCTGGCAATATATCCATAATAAAGCGAGTCAGGAAGAAAACAATGGAACACAAAGGAGTGGGCACTGAAAAAAGGAAACGTGATGGGATTTTATGAATTTTAAACATGTGTGGCCATCGATAACCGAAAAGATGTTCGATAAGGACGGGAAGGACATAGGATTAAGAATGTGTAAGTAACATAAAATCTATCTGGGTCGAAGAGGACAGGCTAATCAGAATACTTAAAAAGGCATAAAGTCAACTACAACACAGCAAGGGAAATGCAAATGTAAAAGGACAAAAAATAAAAGCAAAAAGCTGACGGATAGACCATGACTGAGATGTTGAAATTTGAATAATTAGGAGTCGATGAGTCACCTGCAAAGGTGTCATGCTCCGATAACATCGGATTGTGTCCCAGAATGTGGGGTGGGTGTCAAATGCAAACCCTGCATCCTCATGTGCGCACACACACACACACGCAAACACACACGTGGAGATGTGAGGAGAATTCATTACGTCTTTTAAATAATGTACCAGCGTTCGCGCTCCTCACAGAGCGCCGCGTGATAAGACTCGAGAGATAAAGCCGGTACAAAAAGCAGGACGAATTCTGATTTTAAAAAAGTACGCGTAAAAAAAAGAAGAGATCATAAGAAATGTAAAAGGTCTCAAGTTTTAAAAAAGAGAGATAAAATCATTAAGATAGCAGTGTGGGACGACCAGGCGATAAGCCCCAGTGTGAGAGCCACCAGCTCTCCTCTCCCCCCCATTTGTAATGATTAACATAAAGCCTGTCAGGCCTCCAGAGCTACACAACGGCTGCTGGTGCGCGAGCAGATGCGGTGTCACCATCTCTATCACGTAACACTCTCCGGAGAGCTGCCTCAGCGCATCTGTGAGGAACGGCGTCAGAAATGTGGACGTCTGGACGTCACCGGACGAAGAAAAGGGAGGTCTGAGGCAGCCGCGTCCATATTCATGAGCTGCCCTTATCGCTCTGGCTCAGTTTTTGTGGCCCCATACTGTCACAGCTGCTCTGACCAGCGTGCAGTCCGGACCCGATAACCGGCAGGAGGCGGGCCGAACTACGGGCAGAGGCGTGGAAAAGGTGAGGGGAAAAAGAACCGCGGCAGGGATGATGAAAGGCGGAGAAAGGAGGAGTGATAAGGAGGGGGGGAGCGGGGAGTATGGAGGGAGCGTGAGGTGCAAGGGGAAGAGACAGAGAAAAAGCAAACAGAGGATGGATGCAGCAGGTGCTGCTAGGAAAACACAAAGAGAGACGGAGAGATTCTGTAAATACAAAAGAAGCACGGGAGCCTGGAAACTGGAGCAATAATTCTCAGCCAAAATTAGCCCCATTTTTCACCAACTTCCCTCAGTGATTCTGTAATGTAATATGCTGAGCGGGGAGGCTCCTGCGGGACACGGCGAGATGAGAACCAGATCTTTTGCCTTCTAGCTAGGTAAACAAAGACACATTGAGCCGACACGTACCTTAAAAAAAAAAAAAAAAAAGGGAGGGGGGGACTGGTGGGTATGCAAACAAGCGCTTGACAGACAGAAAACTTGTTAGCAAACGGAGAAATGTGCATGTGGAAGAGGATGAAAACTGGACAATCACACACAAATGTAGTGAGGCAGAAAAACCAAAATAAGGAAAGGAAAGCGAGGTGTGGAAGTATGCTAATTCTGTCAGCGAGGTCCAAAGGCTAAACACTAATCTACGGGAGAAAACAACTCATGATGGTCCCTCTTCCCACCCTCCAGCTGGAATTCCTCCAGAGCTACTTGGCTGAGTCATAAAGAAATAAAACAAAAACAAAAACATATGTGTTCGTGTGCTGGATTTTTAAAAAGATTATTCCTAAAAATAGAAAAGAGGGATTTAAATCTGAGACAAATGCCCACCTGTGAGAGAAGGAGTTCTTGGACAGATTCAGGTAGGAGAGGTCAGCACAGCAGCCTCGCAGCAAGGCCCCAAATAACTGGAGGAGACAGAGAGATAAATAGGTGGGATTTGTTCACCAAAGCCAATGGGATTGTGTTTTATAACGGTTATGCTGTGATTGTGCCCATTAAAGCCGACCCATCTGAAAAATGAGCAGACAAATAAGAAAAACAACCATTCCTTTTTTTTCTGTGCAAATGCTTTCAAATAAATAGATCCCTTTATGTATAATATAAGCATTATTTGAAACGCGTTCAAGGCCCGGTGGGGTGTCTGAACAAGAGACAAGAGCAGAATGAGATGTTACCGCTTGTCAAATCAGGACAAAAACAGCCTGTGCAATTTATTCCAACTTTCATTTCATCCTTTTGTGTGACATGGCAGCTGTTTGTAGAAAATAATGGACTGGTTGAACATTTCACTTTTCCAGAACCATGGAGAAGTGGATTTAATATCGGCTGTCTGATTTGAAAGAAATACAGATCAGAGACAAATGTAATGAAAAACAAAAGGCATCAATACTGAGCTCCCCAGCGCACAAACGAAGCAATAAATAGCACAAAATGTGAGTTAAGGCTCTGTGAGAAAGACCTATTGTGATTCCTGAGGAACACCATAAATTATTATGTGAATATTATTAATTCACTTGCAATGAGCTCTGATAAATCTGGAAAAGTGGTGGAAATAAAGTACAATCCAAAGTCCACACAGTAAGTAAAATGGTCGTCCCAGAGTTTTCTTTCTTTGTTTTCAATAAATCAGGACAAACTGACAGTGTGTGTAATCGCTCAGGGATTTCTATGGCTCGGGAGCACGAGCGATTGCCTGGCGGGGGACGGGCGGTGGTTCGATCCTGTTTGCTCTAGCCTCGCATTTGAGAAATGCATTCGACAAACGTAAGGGTTGCGTCAGGAAGGACGACAAAAGCCCCCTCTAAACCCAGGTCATCTTCTGTGCCCTCGCTGTCTGACAGATACAAATGAGCTACAGATAACTTTTCCTTCCCCTCATTGTTGCAACCTTGGTAATAGAGATTGGCCTTTTTTTTTAAAGAAAAAATAGAAAAAGAGGCTGTAAGACGAACAGACTTTTTCAAAGGTGATACATCCTCACATTGTGCCTGATGGTTTTGATAGTTCTGGCAGCCTGACTTTGGATTTCTACATCACAGATAAATCTGTTTCAGAAAAAAAATTGATTTTCACCACATTTTAAGAGAGATTCAACCACTCAAACCTCAAGCTAAAACCGCAATTTACTTGTAGCCATTAAACATGCCGGCCATCCTTTAAAGCTATACTAAATGACTTATCTCCCCTTCATTAGTTCTGCATTCCTGTACATCTAGGGGGGTAATGCCTCCGAGTTCCATGAGTCAGTGTACCCACCAATCTGACAAAGTGTGTACAGAAGGAGCTCATCTGTCAGAGAGGGCTAACAAATCCCCTTAGCACGACTAAATGCGCAATAAGAAGTCCAATCGTATTGCACTGAATCAAAGTCAATCTGAGACCGTACCAAGAAAAAATTATTACCCCCTGTTCCTCCGTGGGTTATTGGGAATGTTCATCAAAATTCACATTAAAAAAATGGGAGAAAGCCACAGAGACCCACACATCAAGTATGCTGAGCCACATCCAGCTTCCCTTCTGATATGATCAATTTAAATTCCACCATCCATCAATGGACATTTCAGGCCAAGCCGTGACGATATGGCCAGCTCTCGAAGGAAAGAGCTGCGGGAAGCTTTAGAATGCCCAATCACTCTTAATAGTAAATGATGAAAATATGCTTGTTGGGTTGCTGGATAGCTGAGGCAAAACGTGACAGGAATCAAACACTAATATCTGTCCAGATTTCAAGCAACGCCTCTTCCGAGGTGAGGGGTTAAACTATCAGACCCATCAGCCTCTCCCTGACAGTGTGATCCATCACACAAATGAGGGATCGAACGTTGCCCGAACGTCTGTGGAGATTAAAAACACAACGTTATTAATAATTCAGCCCGACACACTAAAAAAAGGTCTCCCAAAGACAGTTCTACTCGAAAAGAATAAACGGCAATCAGAAAAACACAATGTGATTTATGTGTCCCGTGGGGAAGTCTTTGGCCTCTGAGACGGAGCGTTTGAGAAACTGTCCAAAAAGAAGAAAAAACAAATGATTAAAATAGAACTAAAGTGATGCAGGGACTTCCACACAATCCAAAGCAAAGTTCCCGGCCCCTATTAGGAGAGGGTAATTGAAACGGCTTCCTGCTTCAGCTGCTCAGGTGAGGTAGAACACAACAAGAGAGAAAAACAAAAGAATCACAACAAAATGCCAGTTGTTGCAGCTCAAAACACTCAGGACAATCTCGCAAACTTTACTTGAAACCCATCTGTAGAATAACAACTAAGTTTATTCAACACAAAAAATGTAATACCATTATTCCCCATAGAGGTTACTCAAAATTGTACAAAAAAATGAATGAAATATAAATAAGAAAAATATTAATTAAAAAATGTTAATAAACCACAAGTATGAAATATTGTCAGCATTTTTTGGCTGCTATTACAGCATTTACAAGAATTATATTTTAGGTAAGAAGTGCATGGATGCATTTAGACACGTTATGAGAGCTGAAAATGTTGGTTCATATTAGATACAAGGGAGGACTGACTTTTCCCAAAGGAAGGGGCAAATTTGCGGGTGCAAATTATATTTGTATACACATCATATGTGGGAAATTAAGATAAATATTAGAATGAATGTAATCAAATTTGTCACACATTGGATGGACTAACTCACCCAGATCTGTTTCCTCGCTGAAACGGTTAAAATTGTCATAAAATGCCTGATAAACAGCACATTAAGACTACTTGTCAATAGATGGCAATTTAAAGCGTTACCAGACTTTAACTCTGCTCTAACCAAACCCAGACTTCACAACCTCATACCCCTACTCAGCTAATTTCAACACGATGCCTGTGGAGTGGAGTCAGTTCTACATGAGGATTTCCCACTGAGACAGTTCAAAGCAGCAGAACATTCCGAGTTTTTTTTTTAACAGCGTTCGCACAGACGCCTCTCTGAATTCCTCCGAGCTGCAGCATGTGTTTCCCCCTCACCTGGGCAGCTCGGGAATAATTTTTAATTAGTGGGAGGCGGTGTGCACGGATGCGTGTTTGGTGCAGAGGAGGGAATGTGCAGCCTTTTTAAAGATTCAAGCGAGGCATCCCGGATTATTATTCTTTTATTCTGATCATTAAGACAGTTGGTTGGTTAGCACTGTCGCCTAACAGTAGGGAGGGGGGGGGTTCCGTCCAGAGATTGTGTCCTCTCGACACACACGTGTTGGTTCCCACCGGGTACTCCGACTTCCTCCCACAATCCAAAAGGGGTAGACCAGTGGTGAATTGATTGATTCTAAATCGGCCGTAGGGATTCATTTGATTGTGTTTGTTTGTTTGTTTCTGTGTGGCCCTGTGATGAATTGGCAATCTGCTCAGGGTGTACCCCACCTCTTGCCCAGTGACAGCTGGGATAGGCTCCAAGCCCGACCGGGACTAAGTGCTATAGAAGATGGATGGATGGGGGAAGTTGGGAGAAACTGCTGTGATCTTTAGTCATACAATCAACAAACTGGATTAAGATGTGGAATCATCCCATTCCAGTATGGTAGAGTATAGAGGAGCATTACGACTGCTTTGACTGGGTCACTGGTGAGCATGAGCCATGTTTGGATGGATATGTTGCTAGGACAGGTCTGTTAACAGCCCTGCTGGGGAAGGAACAATGAAAGGAATCTTAACTCTCTCTGAAAACTTCATGGCTCATACTGCACTGTAGGATCAATACGACACTAACAAAGCAACAAGAAGCAACAACAACAACCAGTAAATGCCGTCCCTCAGACAGCTGCCATTTTTCACAAACTACAGCATCACAATCACTTTCACCTGCAGTCACTGAACACCTCAGATAGAAAGAGCCTATCATATCATCATACAGAAGTGTTACATCTCTCTGCAGTGACAATCATCTTTAGGACAAATACTTGAGTAAACTTTCATTTTGGACCTCTTTATAATTCATAAGAGGCTACAGCTTTCTATGGCAGAGCCTGCTAACAGCTTTCACCACCACTTACTGCACTGCATGCAGAGAAGCTCTAAGACAGGGTCAACCCGGGCTGCACACGATGGGCAATTCGCATTCAGGATGCTATTCTTTCTCTTTCTTGGCCCAAATCCCGAGTTGGGAATGAGATAAGACATCGATGGCTGGATAATGGTTGTTAAAAGGCAAAATTACAAACCGAGTCCACAGTGCAGTCTGTCCCGGACAGGTCCAGATGGACCAGGCAGTTGGGCTGGGCCAGGAACAGGTAGAGGTTCTGCATGGGAAAAAAAAAGAAAAGAGGCAAAGAAATCACTGGAAACTCAGGAAAATGAATACATTCTTCTTTCAACTATAGTGTCCAAGTCACATTTCAAAGCAGAAAAATAAATGGAATGAGTTTGTTTTTTCCAGCTGCTAAAAAGAAAATGCTTATTGATGTCAACATGGAGACAACTCAGGACATTAAAAGAATTAACAAATTGAAATTTGACGCATACATTTGCTGGATTATGTGAGAATGTAGATTATATTTATTCAAACATCTTGTCTCTGGCTCAACTATTTTGAGAGGGGTTGTTTACACCATCTTCCAGAATTATCATGGAATGGTACAATGTTTTGTTCTTTTGTGAAAAAAATTGACTTTTAAAAAACATTGCATTCTGCTTTTATGCACATTTCACACAGCTTGGCCACTTTTGTTTGAGGCTTGTTTGAGGCATATACATCTATTTGCCTACTGCAACTTTTGGATAGTTGGAGGAAAGTCAAATGAGGGGGCTAGCTTACAAGTCATCCTTTGTCCCCGGTAGTAACGGTGTTTAGCTGGAAAGAGTCAGAGTGCCTGTAACAGACCAGCCTCAAAGGCCGAGCGAGCAAACAGTCGAGTCGCGAGAAGAGACGGGAGGAAACTTTCAGGCTGTGCTGAGATTCAGAGGATCAGCCTACAGAAAATGTGCAGGCATGCACCTGACAAGAATCCCCACCTTTAAAGCTGTCAGGGGAACACATAAAAGACAAACGCCGCTCATTAAAAGGAGGCAGGTTTGTCTGGGGTTTGCCAGAAGGCATGAGGGAGAACGAGCTGGGAAAAGCTCATCTGGTCTCAGGGGAGCAAAACTAACTGTTCTGCAGAGGAGTGAGTCCAGAAAACACTGTCCACTGTCTGACCTGACAGACTCTGACCTGTCCTGCAAAGAAGGGCTAATACATCTGCGCACATTTGTTTCTATATTGGGATTATACATAAAATCAGCCATAACTTTATGAGAAGCGACAAGTGAAGCGGAAAACATCCATTTTCTTGTTATAATGGCATCTGGCAGTGGGTGGAAGTTTTATTCAGCAAGGGAGTTTGATGTGTTAGGCACAGAATAAAACTTAGCAGCTATGACACATTGAGTGACTTTGAAAAGGCCAATATTATGATGGCCTTGTCATGGCACCTCCACTATTGCGGCTTTTGTAACAATTTTCTGCTCCGCAGAAGACTAAAGAAAAACTAAACTAAACTGAAGGAAAAAAATGTATGGGCATAAAAGTGCTTGTTGCAGATCTTGAGCTGGAGCAGGCCTGTTTTGTCTGATCCAATAGAAGCTCAAGTTCTGACCGTACAGGGCATCAGACATTCTCAGTAGACCTGGACCATGGAACAGTTAAAAGGAGACTGGTCTGATGCCAAAGACCTGTCAAGTTTGGGAAGAATTACACCTCCCTCACAGTTTATGGTTTAGTGTCTGATTAATGTACAGCTTCACTGCTCTTTTGAAATGAGAGTCATGTACTAGGTGGGTGTTCAGAATTCGTGGTGTTTTGGTTTAAGATTTTTCTTAAACAAAGTTGCAGATGCAAATACTCTAGTCAGCTCCCGTTAAGCATTCGTACTGTAGAGCAGATAACAAGCCAATGACAACAAAGCTTAAAAAACGCCAGTAGATAATGATTTATTCACCAGACTTATGACTGTTGGGGAGAAAGCCTTTTGCCTTTTTCTAGAGAAACTTTTCCTCATTATGCGAGTTAAGATGGACTTACTGTGGCATCTTCTCCAGACAGAACCCCGGGGTTTTTGCTGAGGTCCAGGTGCAGCAGAGAATTGGAGTAGTCATCACTTGAGCACAGAGCCTGGGACAACGACACAACTCCTAATGGAAGGACAGCGTGACAAATGACAAGAAAAGGAGGGGAAGGGAATTTAATCATTGGTTAATGTTTCTTGCCTCCTCAGTGGGCCAATTCAGAGCTCGAGACAAAGCTTGGTTACAAGCTTCTGAGATGGTAAGCAACTTCTGTGACAGGAAAAAAAATAATTGAGCTGAGACTTGCGAGCTCCGGTGGCAGGCCAGCATTAAAAAAAAAAGCTCACAGAAAAAGCAAACCATCTTAGTTTCCAAGCGAACACTCAAACCCAGGCAACAAAAAATATTAAAAAAAAGTCTCCCAAACCAGATTCAACAAACAATTACACCCACCAGCCTGATGGAACCCCTCATTAAAATCCTCACCTCTGCAACACTAATGCAGAACATGGCGCACGCTAGCAGGTGCAGAATGGAATATGAGCACGCTGACAGCACAGGAGGGATTTCTGGCTACGGAAACAATGAGAAATACCCCGCAACTACCATCAGTCTCTGTCCTGTTTGCTCTCTAACGCAGATGGGATTAAGATCAGGAAGTGCCTTTTTTTTCCTCACTCTGTTTCTTTGGGACTCATCTGAGGAAGGAGTCAGCCACTGCGTGTGTCGCTCAGAAAGCTGGAGAGGCACTAAGCTCTTCATCCCTAATTTGTAGTGATTAAGAGGGAAATGAGGGGAAGAGGGGACGGGGTGTGTAATCCCCCCCCCCCCCCCCCCCCTTCAATCTATCCATCAGATGCTTGATTCTACTGGAGGAGACATTTGGAAGCCCTCCGGTCCGTCTTACACCGTCAAGAGTGTGAGACAGTAAGAGTGACCCAGGCGTGTGTATTTTTAGCCAAACTGAGCTCGTTTCAGCAGACGCTGAAAGGATGTCATATCAGAAACAGAAGGAGGGAGGGAGGTGAGCAACAGGGGAGGAGCGATCTATACATTTTCGACCAAAAAAAGGCGTTCGGTCACTCCAACGGCCGCTGCTGAAGGTCAGCGGCGCGGTTTCAGCCCCGCCCGACCACTGGGTCACCCCACTGGCTTTTCTGATTGCACCTATCCCCCCCCGCATGACACGCGCTAACAGGGTGTCGGGGTCATGGACTGCACTGGACTCTGAGCCGGTCAACGTGTGCTCATTTCAAATCGACAAACGAAAAGAAATAAGACGGATCCAGAGAAACTTACGAGCAGTCTCTATGTCTCGGTCCATTACTTTTGTCCTCTGAATATATTTCACTTCAAAAATGCTGATGATGCACTTTTCCATGATATATTCTTTTTATAATGCAACGACAAATACAGTTTTTTTGTCATCAACTTTGCTTTAAATGTTTTGTTTTTCTTATATTGCTCAATTTCTAAAATACTAACAATTGCGCAGTATGAATGTATTTAAAATATGGAACCAATTCACACTTACTAGCATGGATGTCTCTTGGATGAAGCTCCAGTAATTACTACTACAGATAGATGAGAGATAATTCATATTTATTTAGTTAATTACTTTATTTGTGTGAACTGCTGGCGTATATTTGAAGGGAAGTTCTTGAATAAAGTTAGGTTCTGACTTTGGAGACTTGTTTCAAATTCTACCTGTTATCACAGTTACTGTGGTCATATTTTGGTAGCTGCATTAACAGTTTTAGAGGCCGTGGCCCAGTTGCAGGAATGCAAACACTATTGTTGTTCACAGAGAGAAGAGGTTTCATCAAACAGGGAAATATCTCGACGGCTTGGATGGACTGAACGGTGGGCCAGCTGCTGTGTAACTACTGACTCAGCTGTAACTGATGAGCAGCTCTGAGAAGGGGAAAAAGGGACACTGTGTCAACTGCTATTAGAGCCTAATTGATCCAGTCTCCGTGTTTGCATGGTTTCTCATTAGAAGCAGTTAATGAATTTAACACTGTGGTTCCACGTGCAGGAATGAAGCCCACTCGCTTTGGAGACACTAATAAAGACAGATGTAGACGGGCGTCGCCGTGTGATGCTGAACATATCTAATAAACTAGCAGCTGCTACATGAAATAACGTCAGTTCACACTGACATTTCTGGGACCTATCTTCCCTTTTGCAGAAGGAACAAATCAGCTCATCCGGTAAAGCAGCTCCATCATGCCGGTGGGGTTGCATGTGCATGCACACCCCAGTGTTTCCATCCCAATTCTTGTGGAAAGCTGTACTTTCTTTTATGATTTGGATGTGTAAAAGGCTGAGAGACGGTGGGAAGGCAACATCATTCAAACCCAACAATTCAGCATATAACAAGGCCACCGCCACCTTTTTAAAAGGAGGCCAGATACTGGGACTCATTGCCGGGCATTAGGCATCACCTTCTAAGCAGCCGGGAGCAGCTGGAGGCTGCAGGGCTGCCAACACTGCAGTTACAGTAACACCGAGCAGGAACAAATGATAACACACCTGCTTCCTGCTTTGTTTTGCAGTTAATGAAAGCTTGAGAACAGAAAAGGAGTTCACTTAATCCCTCCATCTAGGTTGAGCTGACATTTGTCCACCCTCTTTGTGTGACCAGGATAAATGTAAAAGGCTAGAGATGATTGCAGAAATCAATAAGCAGTAGTAGTTACTGGAGAATGTCTCACTCTTAAACCTTTTGTTTGTCTATTTTTTTAAAGCCAATTCACGAGAGCTTTTTTTCCTCCTAGGATGGCTAATGTTCTTTTTTCGTGAAAACATATTCAGCCTCAGTTTTAATTTAATGTTTCTAAATGTATGCAAGAAGACAGATAAAAATTAGCAATGAGTGCCAATAAAGATTTAAAAAACTGCATTATCATGTCTCACACTGAGTTTAGAAAGAGGCTATAAATATGGAAATAATATCTGCATCAGTATAATCCGCAGGGATCCACGGCAGTGTTTGTGCAGGCCTCTTCTGTCTGGGATAAAAGCAATAGAACTGGGACAGTGCGATAATGCCCACATTGGATTTAAGACAAAATGACAGATCAACGATTTACGATCCTGACCTGGTTATGATTTGGTACTCGGCACATTTTTGTGCTGCCCAAACGCAGCTCCATTGGGGGCAGTGGGGCAGCACAGTGTGAGGCTGTGGGGGACATCAATAGACTCAGAGCGATAGAGCTCACCTCACTGTGAGTGACACACAGTATCGCACCATGTCTCAGAACAACTGATTGACATTAAAGAATAATAAGCTGTGTTCGTGTAAACCATATCAACCACTGGGGGTTGCCGCATCTACCTTTGGAGGAGAGGGAGGTCTTTGACAGATTGAGGAGACGCAGGCCCTTGTTGAGCCGGCACACCTGTTGAATCAGGTTGGAGACTCCTGTGTGAGGGAGAAGGAAAACGAAGATAATTTGAAAACTGAGAGAAAAATCACCCTCAAACACAAAACACAACAAGCTTGGGCCTGTAAAACCTGAATGCTTTCTACTTCTCAAGGTCTCAAACACAGAGCCAGACAACGTTGGGCGCTTTGTGTAATTGTGACAGAAATTATAGCGGAAAATAACTTTTTTGCTCAAAAAAGTTCAGAAGAAAATATACAGATATCAGTGCTGACAATCTTTTCCCTCAATATCAGTGCGCATATGCTGTGCAACACATGTCCACCGAATGAAAAAAAGATCCCGCCAATAATTCTTCACACATTATCCCACACACACACACTCACACACATACACACACACAGTTTTTGTAAGCAAACCAATATGAGCGCCTTATGCCAGGCCAGATTATGTAAGAAAGTTTCACCTCGGCAGTTTTATTAGACACACTGCAGCAATAACGATGATATAAAAGGCGCTGCTTTATTAAAAATGGATCTCATTGCTCTGTAATGCCTGCCGCCGTTTCCTGCTCCTCCTCAGCATTCTCATTTCTTTGACAGTGTGTGTAAACACTGCTCAGTCACCGTTGCCATTTTCTGGGTTTTAATCATAATAAAAGAGTTCACACGTTGTCGATGCGCACAGACACACGTCGACATGTGTGTGCACGCACACCAGGGGGGTGACGGGCACAACAAACTCATTAAGTCAAGTACAAGTGACAAGTGTCAAAGTGGAGGAGGCAGATTAGCTAATGAGCAATGCCTGCAAGGCCAGGCCCGGTTTTACTCCTGCACCTCAGTCTCACACACACACACACACACAGAAATACATGCACTATGCAAACTGTGCACACCCTGGGATCTTTTAATCTGAAAAAAATTTTTGGTCCCCACAAAAATTTTGGTCCCCACAACGTGACTGGTCTGTCCGATTTTGGTCCCAACAAGGTAATAAAGACAAACACACACACACACAAACACGACGTGGTTAATATCAACTTTAACAATGACAAAGGAGGACCCAATTAAAATCTGCATTGTGCAGAGAGGAATATTAGATGTTCAGAGTGTGACTAAGTACAAGAATAAAGTCTTCTGATCAGCTCCCCTACAGCTAGAAACACAGAGACAAAAAAAAAAGGAGAAAAGCAAAGAGGTAAGGTGCATCAAGGACACAGTTTACTTTTGAACTCTGAGTGCAAACAAAAGCTGTGGTGAAGTAAAAAGCAAAAGAACAATTGGAGGAGCCCAGATAAAGAAAGCAGTGGGAGGGATGAGAGAGAGTTCACAAAGTAAGTACCTTGGTTGTCAAGTGTGTTATGAGCCAGGTTGAGAGAGTGAATCACAGAGGCTGGATTCTCAGACAGCGCCGACGCCATCTTCTGTGGAAAATCCCTGGAGACAACGTTAAAAAGAGAAATTGGATTCTGTGTAGATTCTGTGCTGAAGAAATCTGTCAGGGACGTGTTCCTGATTTCCTCTTTTTTCACCCACACATGCCAAACATATTATCAGGGCTGTCATTTTTGAGACTGAAGCAAACTTGAGATTAAATGGAATTAAAGGGAAATCCAACTGAAATCCAACGACAAAATAAAAATAACAACCTTCATATCCATAAAGTAGAAACATGTCACCCAATCCAAATTTTGCAGTAAAGAGATGAAATGCAGAGTTGCTGCTGCATAAAGAATAAGGCGAAAAGCACTTTGGCTCTCAGTCTGTTGAGGCCTGACTATTTAATAGTTCATTTCCTTATTCAAATAACAATTTTCCTCGACTAATGTTTTTGCATGCTCGTTCACATTTTCTGGCGTTTGCGTGGGCACACCTGGAGAGAATTATCACCCGGCTTATTTGCAAATCCCATCTTTTCAGCAAACACTGAGCATACTGTGTTTATTGTAGCTAAGCGGTTGGTTCAGCCTCATTGCTCTCACAAAGCCACTTCCAGGCAAAGTATTGCTGGACTTGGGTTGCAAAACTGCAAAAACTCTGAGTGAAGGAGTGAATGCAGCAAGAATCAAAACTGTCTGAGACTGAAAAGGAGACAGAATATTGGATTTGTTTGCCTACTGGCCAAAGGCTTAGCTTAAAGTGAATACTAATGCTCATCAGAGGGGGCTGTTTGCCAATACTTTTGTAGAGATCGCTCATTCACAAGTGGCATAACAAATCAATTACACAATAACTGCTTTAAAGAACTCCCGCAGCCATCTTTGAATGTATAAAGATACTCTGCTTTGGACTATTTTTTGTGTCTGAAATGTGATTTTTGCTCAATAACACATTTTAAAAATACTAACACTGCCTTATTTCAGAAGTCTAACAAGTGGGAACAAGATATGTCCTGCATCACTAAGGGTTGTAGTCAATAACAGAGACAAAATGAGGCATGTGGAAGAAAAAAAGCTGTTCTATGTGCTTCACAATATTTATTTGAGAGACTGAAGTTGTTGCACTCAACAACAACGGCTTTAAGCTTTTGCAGGGGCCCATCGGGTTTGACATGACAACACTCACCAAGTGCTTAAAAACTTGCGAGATCTGTCATTCTCCCACATCAGGCCTAAAATATCCCCCAAATTAACGTTCTAACTATTCCTTATTTGCTTTACTTTTTCTCTCTAATTTTACAGTAAAGTTCTTAATGACACTTGTAATAATAATTTTCTACAAGTACTTTCTTTTTTAAAATATTGCCTTCTCAATATAATGATTTTTTGTAATTCTGAATTTCCCTTTGTGACTGAATGACTTGCACTTTTCCAGCAGAAAACCAACCCAAAATATTTCTTGTTAAACATTCACACGAAATGTTTGGACAGTGGACAAAAATAACTTTCAAATTTCCTTTTTTTTTATTAAAAGAAAATACCAAAGTACCAAAATAAGGAACTTAGTTAGCATTCAACTTTAGCCCCTCCTCATTAGCACCATACGCAGGAGCATTAGTCGTGTTTGGAAAGAGGAAAGCCATTAGACACACCACCGCACAGTGCAGCGGGAAGGTGTCGTATTTTCAGAAATTGTGACCCTGTTCTTTCCCTGTAAAAAAAAATAAAATAACAGGCCTGATGAGCTTTTTCTTTCTTGAACAAATGGCAAAGCAGCTCTTTTTCAAACGAAACATGCTGAAAAATCCACACCACAACCTCATCCATTTTTTCAGTGCTTTATTTCTTAGCTGATGATGCTTATGAAATCTCACATTTCATACCCAGGGGTATATTTCAGAGAGGGTCCTTTTAAACCATATATATAGCCCTCTCCATTGAAGTGCTTCGGCACCAGGAAATAAAAAAAAACACCATTATGCAGCAGCAACTGTACTTGCCCTGAGGCAGCAAGTTCTTCTCAATTAATGCTAAATAAGGAAAATGCACTGCAAAATCAAACTAGCTATGCATCGAAAATAAAATAAAAACGTCCTGTTAGGTGAAGGCTGGCTTCAGTTGGGTAACAGCACAATTGCAACAAATGGTGAATATACCAGAGCTTTCTTGGATGAAATTGTGAAGGTTAAGAGGGGGGGATATGTGAGAAAAAGAAGGAGAAATGGATTGGAAAGGTCAGGACAGCAGAGCAAAGGCAAGAGTGGGAAAAAGTGTAGAGTGAAGAGAGTGATCTAAGGTAAAAGTGGAGACAAGGGAGAGAGTGACAAAAGAAGGGAGAGACGGACCTGAGAAGAAAGACCTGAGTGAAAGGACAAGAAAGATGGGTTTGAGAGGTGGAGGTGTGAGAAGAAAGAAGTTGGAAGAGGTTAGATTCAGGACAAGGTGGTCACAGGCAGGGCTTATGGTTTTTCAGCAAAACAGACGCTTACGATTTGAGTCCAGCGTTCTCCAGCGTGAGCTCCTCCAGGCTGTTGGACTTGCTGACCGTGTGCAGAACCTGGTCCACCACCTCCGACCCCTGACATAAAAAAAACACGTTCATAACTGGAAGTTTCCCCCATTTCCAGAATATATTTCAAGTAAATAATGTTCCTTCACTGGATCTCAGGACGGAATTAGAGAAAAATTAAAAGCACAGCACATCCCCGTGGCACGGTGCCCTTTGTAGATTGTTTCATCATCCAATAGAAGCCACAACAAAAGGCATCAGGCATTTCGGAATCATCCCTGATCATAGCTAAATAATACATTACAAACTATGTGTGCAGTTGCCTGAGAGCAGTTTACACAGCCGTGCACATCAGAAATGGCAGCTTTGAAAGGTTAGCAAAAAAAACAAAAAAAAAGCTTTGCATGAACTAAAACAACCCCAACTAAATATCATCTTATCTGTTTAGGTTTCTCACTCATGGACAGCTTTGATGTGTAAATTGCAGTTATGTAACACAACAATTGTCAGCTTCAGCTATGCCAATAAACGATTCCATAAATCTTAATTCTTTTTATCAGGAGCAGAGACAAAAGAAAACAACACAAAATAACAATAATAATAGATTAATAATAAAATACGAACTGATTGGTAGTCTACATCTGCCAACATGATTTACAAATGGGAATCCAAAAATATCTTACTATGCGCATGTCTTTGCAGTACAGCTTGGTGAACCAGGTGTTGTATGCAATGGACGCCACGATCACAGCCAAGTCCCTGGAATAAAACACACACACACACACACACATTACGTATATATATATATATATATATATATATATATATAAAAAGTGTGTGATATACTATTCAAAAAAAAATTAGAAAACTCCATCTGCTCAAAAATATTTGATGTCACTGGTCTGTAAATTCACATTATGTTGGGCCAACTTTTGGCCTCTCGCCGTTTGGTAAAAAGCAGTATATCATTGTGACAGCGCGAATACCACGGCAGGGCTGTTTTCTGAGAGATGAATGAAACTGCGGACCCACAGAGGGAGAAGCATAGAATGGAGGGTGGGGAAGGGGGAGCGAAAAAGAAAAACAGGGGAGATGTGGAGATTGATGGCAGGGCCAGTGGATTATCCAATAAAAGCCAGACTTTGATTCCAGCTACAAACCTGAAACACCCCTGTATCCATCCTGCAGACACAGAAAGAGCCCACAGATTTGTGTGCTTACAGGGGAGAAAAAAAGGGGAAGAGAGACTGTTTCAGAAACCCCGAAGGTCCAACTAAAGCCTTCCCGGAGCTACAACTGCTTTACATCATCTGACAAACAAGGAGCAAAAAGAATAAGAGGAGGCAGAGCAGAAGAACAGAGGGAGAGGAAGGGAAGAAGATGATACACGTGAAGAAATCCTGAAGAAAAAAAGAGGCTTATTTAGCCCTGGTCTTTTTGCCAGTAACGAGCGTAATCAGAATGTTCAAGTGTATCTCACAGGAGTAAAATGGCTACGGGCTGTGTTCATATTTCATTACTGACATCAGCCCTCAGCCAAGCCCAGTGTGAGGAACACAGCTGAGTCCATCTGTGTGGGAGCGGGTGATGCACACGTCAACATTCATCATCCACACCGAGTCATGTTTTGACAGCAGAACATGTAAGTGACCTCTGCGGCGCGTTGTCTCACTCGGACACGGACGGTGATGCGGTCACATAATGGCCAACAGTACAGTTTCATGGGGATGGTTTGCAAACTCGGATCGCTGCCTTCATTTGTGCCCTTTTAAATTTGATTTATGTCTGAAAGTTATCTTGCAAAAAAAAACTGAGATAAGGGCACATTTTTAACTGGAGGCCACGTTTTACTCCATTAGCTTTTCATTGAAGGATCATTTTTAGTACAGACCTCATTCCTCTTAAAAATCTCCCTTTAAATACCAATTTTACCCTCATCTTGAAGCATGGTGACAAAAATAAGTTGCCAACTAGAGCAAAATAGAGAAAAAAGCTCTGACAATTTGGTATTTTGCCATCTTAATTTAGTCTGTTGGCATAATTTTACTAGTAAAAATTGGTTGGATTATCTGCAAAATGTTTTTTTGGTTAACAAGAAGAAAAGTTGTAGTTTCCCCAAAGGCCATTTAACCACCTACATCCATCATGTTAAAACAAGAGTTCATTTTCTCCTCTCCCTGGTTAGGGCTGAAGGGATCATTCTGGAAACTTTCAAGTCATTGAAAGTCATCTTTCATGACGGTCCAACTTTAAACAGAATAAACTACACACTTACATTTCTACTTAGCTAAGATTCTTAGCCAAGTCTTCTGATGCAGATTTATTCATCCTTACCACTCAGTGGTTTCCAACCATTACTGAATCTGAATCTCGGGTTTAATCCAATTTCCTCCAGCTTTTGTCTTTTCACACCTCAACCAAAAACATCGTTCTTGTACTTTCTTGTCTTTTGGCACCACTCTCTGCCTTTCTAAAATTAACCGGAAAAAATAAAATGACAAAATTCTTGATAAATCCTGTTTCAGCACTATTCTGGCTTGCTTATCACCAGGTCTTGCATTTTCTGTGGAAAATCAATCTCTAATGTTCACCAAATGTAAACATTTGCATCCAAGTTCGAGATTTAAACAACGTGCCAGTTAGGAACAAAAAGACAATTTTTGAATACCAGCACACTCCCAACTCCCCTGTAGGCCTGATTTTCACTTTATGATCATTAATGTTGGACCTAACTTCATTTTGCTCTGACCTAGGGTGGGCCTGGATGAAAGCTCCAGTGGCTCCATCTAAATCAAAGATTCAATGAGGGCAAGATTGTGCTCAGACTTTCATGGCAACAAGCCAAAATGAATAATAATGACAGTGTGGTGTAGTTGAGGGAATATAATAAAAAAAAGTACCCAGTAGACAGTTTTTATTCCCTGTGGGGAACAATTCTGCTTTGTGAATGTCACAGCTATCTGTCTATTGGACTGGATTTACTGTGATAGACAGAAAGGTCAACTGGTCCCACAGAAAACAGTTTATATTTCTATGACAAAACACTTGCCGTCCCCCGTTTCATGACGGTTGGATTTAAAGCACATGAATGTGCTTTAAGATGGATAAAAAACATAAATTAAAGGATCCGAGTCTCACAGCAGAGGAGGCAGGACATTGCCTGCTCCGTTTCAGAAATAGGAAAAACTGAAAATGGTTTGCACTCTGTATGCACACACAGAGGCCATGAAGCTTCAAAAGCAGATCCGTTTCCCACTAACACACAAAGAGCATAACCGAATATACGCCAGCACTAAAAATGGACCTAAGCGGACAGGCTTTTCCCCTCCTGCAACACAATGTCAACCTGCACAGGCCAGACGGAACCAACAGTGACAGGGAGCGAGGCGGCCGGGGAAAATGGACGAGGAGGAAACTCAGGAAGTGAATAACAAGCGGATGAGACGGGGCCGCGGAAAGAGGCGTCTGCTTTCAGTCGACAGCAGAGAGCAGAGAGGATGTCTGGATGCCGAAAAGTCAGCACAAAAAAGAGTGCCTTGTCACTCATAGTAACTTGTTGACAAGCTCAATCTGCAAGGATGAAGAGAACAGATATATAGAAGAGAAACGGGAGGCAACGCTTAAGAGCCACAAATAGCAACTGGCACCTGGTCACATATTGTGTGTGTGTGTAGAAATATATATCTATATACACACACACAAATAGTGGGATCAAGATGATCTAATGTTAAAAGAAATCTTCAAAATGAGCTCACAGGAACAAACTCAGGCAACAAAGGCTAGGCCGCCTTTTATTGCTCTACAGATAGAAAACATTAATATATTCATGACTCTGTTGAATCGCCTTTAAATGAAGAGCTGTGTCATTTATCAGCGTAGCAAAGGGCTTCGATCTCACGATTAAATATGCATCGTCCGGTGCGAACGTTTCCTCTCCCGTCAGGATTGTTGTTGAAAGTTTTCTAAAGCCAGAAAAAGGGGGGAAAAATCCTTTAAAAAAAGGTAGAAGGGAAACCACATGGCATCTCACAGCTGTTCCTGAGCACTTGATTCCACCGCTGACAAGCATATCAATTCCCTTCTGTTATTATCACCACCCATCTATCAAAACCCACCAGAAGCCCAAAGACAGAGAGCGAGACAAAGACTGACACACTCAACATTTTTACCCAGGGAGGGTCTTGAGAAACAGAAAAAAAAAAAACTCTCCGCTGTCACGAGGACTGACAGCTGATGAGATGCACCCAGCGTCTGGGAACTATTTCTGCAGATCATCATCATGCACAATAGAGAGAGCAAAAAAAAAACAACCAAGAAGCAACTTTTCCCAAACAACAATGCAGTCGGAGAGAATTAAGGAAAACATATTTCGTTGTTTTTGGGTTTGCACTCCAGGGAAACGCAGTTCACCGAAAACAACGAGCGAGTTTTAGGTGCTCAAACTGGGCCCATAGCTGCATGGTCTCAGAACCGGGTCATTTAGTGGCACCTGGGAAATAACACCTGCCTAGAACACTAAATTTCCAAGACAGATGAAAAACTGATTGGCTGCATATAATTTTGTCATTTCCTTATGTCTATCTGCCACTTATATTGTTAGGTGTTTATGTGTGTGTCTGTGTGTGTGTGTTGGCTGCCTGGGGAACGGAAAGAAAATCAATTTTAATGACACAGATTCTTATCTTCCACCATTCTGAATCAATTTACAGACTCCAAAAGTAATCCCTGCCACACCGCCTACCAGTGCGAGACCGGGTTTGCTTTTTCTGCTTCCTGCAGGCTGGTGTGCCGTTATCCAGAGGTCATCCCGGCAGTGAACTCTAGAGCTAACGAATTCACAGGCCGCACGGTGATCAAACAGAGGTCCATGATTTATTTAATATCTCACTACAACAGTGTCTTCAGAACAATATGGATAAAGATAGGTTTTCATGGCACAAGCAGCAGTTAAGAAGGCATTCTCAATAGCTTTATATCAATAATTCAGAGGAGAGTTCTTATTTTAGTTCATAAATTGAGCAAATTAAGTTAATTATTAACTTAAGTTTGCAAGTTTTCCTATATACAGACTATATGCATATAACTTTGTATAAATAATCAATTTAACACTAGAGCAGAACACATACACACCCTAAAATTCAGGATAGCAATCCTTCACAGCTCTATTTCCTAAAAGTTCTGCTACTATGTGGGTGCACCCTGATTCGGGAAGTGGCTCGTTTTGGTTGCAAATCGCACAAACCCCTTACTTCATCACACAGAGGCTGGTTTTCCCGAATTATCCCCGTCGGCTCTCTTGATTTAAACTCTGCAGCGCTGACGTCTGCGGCAGGCTAGTAAAACACATACTGCCACTTCCCTTAAACAGCTGATGATTGGGCTCCATTTTGCATCCTGTTTAATACACCAGTAAACAACCATGTCTAGTTGTTCTCATCCTGCAGTGTTCAATGATAAATTGGACTGTGTCTCAGAAAAAAATTAAGGCTTAGATCAAATATTACGGACTTATTTCCCTACTGACAATTTACCTCATAGATGTTTCTCATAGATGGGCTGTATTTTTTTCTAATGTCTGCACTCTAATACTCTGTATTTTGATGTTTCCTGGCTGTTTAGTATCAAAAGTTAAACTCCCAGCTTTGGTGTGTAACAGAACTGTTTCTTTTTTATGGAGCACAAAACTATGATTAAATAAACTAGCTCCAAGCTGTTTATGTACTTGTTCCCATACGTGAATATGCAAATCTTGATCATTATGACTGGCAAAGTCGCAAAGTTAAGGTTTTTTCTCATTTTCTGTTTTTTATTCCAAACTGAAAAGCGAAAAATCAGCGAAGCTGAAGGTGGCAGAAGTTGAGTTCTGGCAGAGCTTCACGCAGTTCGGAGCCAAATGTCTGGCTGATGCGAGTAACAGACAGCAAAGCCGCAGCCAGATATCGATTGCAATAGAAATGACAAATATCAAGCATAAGTTTACGTCATCTCGTCCAATTCCTGCCTCCTGAATGCCGAGCGATGCCAGCATTAACGCCCACAAATTAGGCAGCACTTCATCCTTATTTCTGCTGTTTTGTGTCAAATCCACAGAGCTGGAGCAAAAAGAGCCCCTTCTTCCCAATCTGTATGAGCTAGTGTGGTTGAGGTGTCAATAAACTGCCTCACCTGCTGTCAAGGTGGCTGAAATCCAGCAAGTTGAACTCCCTGTTGTCCTGAGAGTGGTAGATTGTGTCCACATCCTATAAAATAGTGGCAAAAAACAAAACAAAGCAAGACAAAGAATTAAAAACATTCAGGCCAACATGCTCTTTTCTACATTAAGGACAGTTATGACTGAAAGCCAACAATAAATACAAGAAAAAGGTGAAGTTTCTTTATTTCAAAGACAGTTCGGCCTTCTCACCCACTGTACTTCTTCTTTGCAGCCAATTCCATTATAGTCGCAGAGAGCTGCATAAGTCTCAGAGAAGCCACCTAAAGCGTGGAGAAGAGCAAACTGAAATCAATCCAAACAACATCAAAACAGATTCGAGGTGGCAAAGGTGGAATAAGGAAGGACAGAGGCTCTAAAGGAATGGAGGGAAGAACGAATGCGGGCCAAAGATGAAAGAGGCCAAGACGGACTTGCGGCAGAGAAAATGAGCTGTGAACACTGAGGTGAGATGAAAGCACAGAACAATTCCATCAAAGAGTTCCTGGTGAAGATTAGGAGGATTACCAACCCAGGGTGAGTTTATCAAGTTAGCTTCAGCGCTATGACCCACTTACGGGTCCCAAAACGAATTCAGCGCCAGCCAATATGTCCATGAGAGTGTTGAATCCATCCGGATGTTCAAATCTATCTCCAGACATACGTGTGTGTTTGTGTGTGACGTAGAGAGAACAGTAGCAGACCAACCGCATGTTTTCGGATGCTCTAGAGATGATTCCGAATTCGGTGAAAACTTGTGACTTCCATCAGGCAGGTCTCCCTCTGCGCGGCAGATAGGAGGACTGAAAAACAAAATGGATAGCTTTTTTAAACGGCATGAGAATCTAGGAGCTGTTCGCCTTAAATAACTGGCAAGGGAGTGCTTCTGAACAAATGCTGACATGTTAACAATGCAGTGTATCGCAACCCTCCGTCTTCCAGAAAAGCAACAGTATCCAAAAGCTACCCATTTGCCTTCCACAATACCTGGCTGAGAAAAAGCTTACTATTTTAAGAAACCGAGCCTGTCGCTATAACAGTGCAAGATAACAGTTTGTTTTCCTTTGTGAAAGGGATGCTTCCGCGGTCACAGGGTCAGTAGATTCACCCCAGACCCCCCCTGTCCAAATATTGAAGTGTCCTTGGGCAAGACACTGACGTTCATAGCACCACTGATGTTTTCACTGTTGGGTGGAGTGTGTGTAGGGCACAAAAAAGACGACTGCACTGGACATAGGCTGTAAAAGCACTAAAGACCAAACACACATGCATGAGCGTGTGTTTGAATGCGGTGTGCAGGGTCAGTGTTAGAGGAGCTGGTCCACGCAACTGTCCCATGCCAATGTATGCCAGGGTCCTGGGTCCTGGCCCAGAACCTGGACTCCAGGCCTTTGGTCTCAGTTTTAAGTTGGATGAAGGAAGCCAATCATCCTGTAATGGTTCCCTCTGTCCCAGCACTCTAAAACACCCATTGGAGAGCTGCAGCTGGTTTTTCCATATCAACATAACTGCTGCATTGAATAAAAGTCTTAACTGTCTCATTTGCATTAGTGAAGTTTCTAACTTGTAGCCAGCTTTACTTTTCATTGATTAGAGCCAGTCAGAGCCAAGATAAAACAAAATGGTCCCAGGAACTGAAGCTGCTTCCGACAGTACTTTGGTCATAAATACGTAACAAGAGGGGGAAAATGCATTCCTTAGTGCCGTTTGAACTTCCCTCCTGCTAACATAAAAAAAAAGTTTACTCTTGAAAAAGGACAGTGTGCAGGACTGAGCTCATAAGCTTCAGTAAAGTGTGGAACTACAACATCTCCCCTCAGTTTAAAAGCCGAAAACACGAGCCGGATGCCCGAGAACGTAAACACACACAAATACAATGCTGTGCTGTACCCGTCTTGCTTTGGATTACAACATTACACGGTTGATTCCGAGGCACACCACCCTTAATCCCATTTGTCCGTAAATCACACACGACACCTGACCACATCCGTGGCCTTAATCCCACCTTATCACCACCATCAAGAGTCTGCTGGTTATTTTTATACAGCCGGCATATGATGCACTTCGACTCAACACAATCAGTTAAACCGATGCACAATCACAACCAAAACAACATCCCTCCCTTTCTCTTCCCTCCGCTCTTTATTTTCTATAAATGTTCTCACTTAGGGCAATCATCTGCCGCGCTCTAATGGAAAATAGCCATTCGAAAGAGGAGTGAAGGCTGGAGAAAACCCCGTGTGGGTCAATATCCCGAGGAAAGTCAATCGCTTTGCTTTTAAAATAGTGGAGGAGACCCAGGAGAGGGAAGAATCTCTCCATCTTGTTTGTCTACTTTCACATCCTCATGATCATGACGGGGAGAGAAAAAAAAAGAAAAAAAATCGAACGACTGGAGCGTAACTATCAAGGCTTTGTTTTACTGTGTGTTCTGTCCAAAAGCGGAGGAACTCAGCGCCCACTTTAGGATTGTGTAAGAATGCCTCTCTGGCTGGAGATATTACAACATAGACTGAATTTAAAAACAACAAAAAAAAAAGACAAATTGCCTGCAGATAGCTGCCAACTCAACTCCGCGTCGGTTTGCTGGTTCAACTGAGCCAATGTAGTTTGTTTTTTTCCAATTAAAATGTTATGGTTTGTGACATACAAATGGACCGGATGCAAATTACAGTTTAGCTAGGTGGATTTAACCTCTGAGGAGGAGGAGAGCTGGTACCAGCTGAACGATGCTACCGTGTTGTGAGAAAACCACAGCGTTTTTTTTCCCACTCCCGGAAGGCTTACGCATAAATGGAGTTGTTGAAGACTCGGGACAGGGCATAGTTGATGTGGCTGACCATGTGGTCCAGCTGGTCCTGGCCCTGTAGCCTCAGCGTGTAGGTGGTCTTGTCTGTGTCGATGATGACCTGCACATGGAGAGGACAGCTATGGAGCCAGAATCCACCCGCCTCTGCTGGTCCACAAGGGAAGCAAACGGATTTCTCACCTGGTGCTCCGGGTAGGTGTTCATTGCTCTGATTTCCAAAAAGTTGAAAGTGACCTCCATCTGAAAGCAGAGGAAACAGCAAGGTGGACAAAGAGACATTTTCCTCTTTTACACAATTCAAACCCAATGGAACTTCAAACATTAAGAGCTCTGATACCCATTCGTGGCATCATACATTTTATATACCTATTTATTCCTTTGGGTCATAAAAACATTGTGCTTAAAAGAAATTGTGTAACACAGTTCACATAAACAATTGGATGTGTTATAAAAAGCATCAGCAGGTAAAAGATGAAAAAATTTAATCAATACAGAAGACAAACCACACATGCAGAGTGTATTCTTGTGTCTTTCTATTAGCAAAAGAACAGGAAGAGTTTCTCAGCAAGCTAACTGAGGTTCTTCACTCCACCTGTCAGTGGTCATGATGTCATTTCTGATTGGTGCTCATGAATAAAACATTAAAGCATCAAAGCTTTCCTTTTATCTTTTACAACATGTACATTTTGAACAGCATTATCATGACCAATAAAAATCCAGTTTAAAAAGTATCCTAAACAATCTGAGCAGGTCTGCATTCATCAGTCTCCTGCTAAAGATTAAGAGAAAAAAATAAATAAATATGTAATTATTTGAGTATATTCAAAGGTCAAAGGTTGCTCCTCAGGTTGTGTGGTGTTAGTTCCTTCTCAGTACGTTCCTTGGTATCTAGCTATGTATCAGACATAGCAATAGCCTACTTTAAAGCTTAACATCAAGGCGTGCTTCAATGTCTGATGCTTGTATTGGTACACTTCAGCATCCATACTAAAAGAAGGGGTATGTTGATGACAGGCCTAAATAGAAACGAAAAGTTCCTCTTTCAAGTATTAGAAAACCTAACATTTACCCAAAATGAAGCAACATTTAGCTGTAATGTCAGTGTATCCTTCTATTAAAAGGTACAGAGCAATTGAAATGGCTTTTACTGGCTCATATTGATAGGTTTTTAAAAAATAACAGAGCCGCCACACACACACACACACACACACACACACACACACACACACACACACACACACACACA